CCAATGAATAGTGGGATTGACCGTAACTTTATAACGCCCCCACGGCTGAAAGGGCGAGCATGTTTGGTTGGACGGGGATTCGATCCCGCGACCTATAGTGTGCGAGTCGAGCACCCTAGCCACCTGGCCACGCCGGGCCAGATATACAGAATGTCCGAATATACCCGAAATATAGATGAATAACTTTATTGTTATTTGAGATAACAACAAAAATTTAATATAAAGACAAGTAGTAGGCTTGTAAGTTTCAGTATTAATAATTAATAGACTTCTATGTGGCATCCACCATTCGGCATAATTAACAGCAGTGTGGATTGATAAGATAGCATCATGAATCCGATGTTTCGGTTCTTCAAGGTCTTTTGGTTTGTTATGGTAGACTTTTCTTTTCAAAAAGCCCCAGAGGTGAAAAATCTAGAAGGGTTAAATAGGGCGAACGAGCGAGCCATTTGATAGGTCATCCCTTACCAATCCAACGCTCTGAAAAAGTTTGGTTTAAAAACACTTTAATAATTCCAACAAAGTGGGGTAGTGCTCCATCCTGTTGGAAGATAGCTCAGCTCTTTGTAACAAGCCAGGAGTTTCTCGGAGTTGTAGCATGTGTAGATACGAATTTCCAGTAACAGTTCATTCGTCAAAGAAACAAGAAAAAACAAAAATTAATACAACAAAACTTACAAGCCTACTACTTGTATTTATATTCAATTTTTGTTGCTATCTCAAATAACAATAAAGTTATTCAACATTTATTTATTTTCGGACACGTTGAGTGAAATTAGAAAGTACTGAGTAAAATATTAATGTTCCATGATTAGTACTTTAAACATGAAGTAATTTATTCACTGATGTTCTAATACTTTAGCTGAAGAAGTAGAGCAGAAAATTATTTAAAAGCGTATTATCTTCTTGAAATTTTAAAGATATAGGAATGATTGTCGTTATTATGATAGCTATAACGATGCACTTCTGTTTCTTTATTCTCACCATTCTCAATAGGTGACCTCCTATTTTCTCCAAGAAGAGCTTTGAAATATTTATTATAGATTTTTCTTTCTTTGGCAATGTTGAGAAGCTCTTGGGATCCATCCAGGGCATCAATATTAGTGTATCCTGTCTTTTTAAGCTGAAAATGGAAGTGAAACTGTAAGAACATTGGGTTAATATGATTCAAGTAAAATATAATATATTATTAAAAGTAATTTTCTTGCTCCCACTGAATTCTATGCTGCACAGAGTTTATAGATGTCACTAGCTGCCACAGACAACTAGTTAGAATCAAAATGGCACGAGTAAAGGGTCTCAAAGACTATCAAAGAGAAGTTATTGGGTTTAAGACAAACTGTTCAACTGTTTGTGATATTTAGGCCTACTCACATCCATCTCCACTGTAGTGAAATACCACAGTGGAAGTACTAATGTGGAAACTTCCTCTGACCACACAGATTTTATCAGGATTTACTGCCACATATAAAATGTTTTGCGACACAGAAACACACATCTGCCATCACAGGCACTAACCAGATCTTTAATGGTAGTTCAGACGTGAAAGACCAGAGCTCTATGCTCTTGTATTTCCTATGAGCTGCTCATCACAACAAAGACATTGGTGCTTACAGTGCTTTGAGAGTCGAAACTGGTATGGAAAATAAATGAAAATTGAAAAACTCCTGGGTAGTTGCCTGTTTTGAATAATTTATGCAATTAGCTGAAGTATGTAATGAAAACAACACCCTTCTTCAGAGAGACACAGTTTTATGATTTTAGGTTGAAACAAGTAGATGATTAGAATATAGAGTGCACTGTTCCAAAATTTCATTCGTAACAAATACAATAAAAATGACATTATTTTTAACATATTCAAATTAATAAAAGTTATTGGATAATTAGTTGAAATTAGTAAGCACAAAGCTGATCATGACGTATTTGTAAGGACAATACAGTAACAATTATAAATTTGAAACTTTGGAAGCAAAATTAAAATAAAGTACAACTAGATGTCCATTTTTATAATTATAGACTGGGTCATATAAACACCGATTAAATAAATAATTGAACTAGAATTATGTGTGATTAATTCCCACGTATCATCTTGTTTTTCATTAAATTCCGACACTTATTAACTATATAAGATCATTTGAAGAAAAAAACCAAACTTAAGTAAAGATACATAATTATATGAAAGCCATTGAATCAGTAT